TCTTTTTTCTTTTTTTCTTTTTTTCTTTCTTTTTTCTTTTTTTCTTTTTTTCTCTTTTTCTCTTCTTCTTTTTCTCTTTACCTGCCCCCACCTCGGCAGATAGGACAGCTATATATATATATATATCGTCACATGAATATCAGAGCGCAAAAGCGAAAAAAAATAGAAAAAAAAAGAAGAAAAGAATGAATTCGTTTTTTATCTTCTTCCTTACAACTCCCCCTGTTCAGAACCTCTTGCGTACTATATGTACACAGATATATATATATACGCACATACATATATAATATCGTCAAACAGAGCTGACCGGTAAACCGTACGCAGAAAGCGTGAAGGGACAACAAACGAGGGGCTGTGACAAATTGTTTAGTCAGAGTATAACCGACTCATCAGGACGCTAACCCCATACATGACAGATACATTCTCCATTTCGCACATTCGGTGAGTAGTGCGGCGAGGCCCCATGCGTCATATATATATATATCTACGTATTGGAAAACGAGCTCCTTCCCCCTCCCCCTGCCTCTCTCTCTCTCTCTCTCTCTCTCTCTCTCTCTCCGTGTGTCTGTCTGCATGTGTGCATCCCTTCATTTATCAATCACTGCGACGTCACACACAGCAGGAAAACGAAGGAGCGAAGGAGAAACAGCGGGCAGGCTGCAGGCGTCATGCTGTTTCCACAGCTACCGTCTTCCCCCGAATAGAACGTAATAAGGTCAACACCGCCGTATCTAGACTGAAAGTTGGCCCCAACAGGGGTATTCCTTTCCCCCCCAGCTGCTGTTCATCCCATACGGGATACACTCCTCGTTATTTAATAAATGCGCCACCATTTGCTTTCCTTCCCCTCGTCTCTCTCGCGGGTTCGCGGAATCGCCGCAAGCTTATCCGCTTATATAATAATTTACTGCGCGCCGTTTCTCCCAATCCCGCTGCGAGCAGCTTCCCGCGTACCAAACGCGACGCAGAAAAAAACGACCAGCTACAAATTCACCCAGCTCAGCCCGAGGGAGTCCCACGTCATTAAAATCATCATCATCATCATCATCATCATCATTCCATCATCATCATCATCATCATCATCATCATCATCGTCGTCGTCGTCGTCATCATCATTATCGTCATCCATCACCACCACGCATTCCTTGCTCGCTTCCCAACTGTGATTCAATTTCGGACACGTCATGCGACCACCGCACCATTTCCGTTTCCCCTTCCTTCCTTTTAACTCGCTCATGATTCGCGTAGAGCCTCCCTCCCCATCCCCATCCCCTCTCCTCTTCAGCAGCTGTGTCTTCTTCTCCACGCTCTCCTCCCTCCGCCGAAAGAACTGATGATTAAACAACCAGGGCTGGCCTGGGGTTCCATTCCCCTCTTACCTCGACCCGCCCAAATAGTGCGCCCGCTTTTTTCCTAAAAGAGGCCATTTTAAAGACCTCGCTCACGTGACAAAGGGGTATATCCATCCGTTTCATCCCCTCGTTCATAACTACCGCCACGAACAGCTGCCTCATTCACGCCCTTTCTCCTCACTTTCTCCCGCCAATTTCACTCCCTTTCCTTTTCGCCCTGGCGACATTCATATTCACCCCCCATGACAGCTAGCTTGTCTAAGTTCATGATCAGCGTGCGCTGTGTTCGTCGGAGGACGACGGTAGTCGTGACAAATCCACGATGAGCACAACAACTACAACACACGATTAATAGACTTTCTATTGTTTATTGATTGATTGATTGATTGATTGATTGGTTGGTTGATTGACTAGACAAGGCGCGAGCAAGAAGAAGAACACAAGCAACGGAAGAAATCGCCAAGTACCACGACGAAGAAGCGTCGACCTGCCGGGCGCGTGCGCGGGTGCACGGGCGCGCGGGCGCGCAGTCAGTATGCCCCTTACCTGTACTGCACACTGCGAGACGACGCGAACGGCGCAACTCCGCACACCGCGAGACGACGCCAACGGCGCAACTTCACCGGCCCGCGACACGTGTGTCCTCCTGCTTCCCCCCTGCCCCCCCCCTTCCTGACCGGCGCTAACGTGGGGACATGTTTGACGGTACGGCAAACGTAACGTGCCAGAGATTCCCCTTCCGTAGCGAATTGCTTCCGCAGGACTTCGCAAGCGCGCCTCCCTCGTTCAGATAATGCGAGTTCTCCCTTCAATGTGCGACCACGTGGGGCGAACTCTTCTGTCCCCGCCCGCGCCGAACTTGCCTACCGCCGGTAGCGCAGTCCGACAGCCAGCCATCCGCGTGACTGCGCTCCTGACTTTTGCAGTACAGGGGAAGGAATCCCGCGCCTGTCCGCTCGCCCCCGCCGCGGCCCCCCCCCCCTCCCCCTCCTTCCCGTCCCCTACCCTCTTTACCCGCATACAACACATGGTCATTATTGCTGTATCTGGTACGGGTACAATGGACATTTGGGAGGGACGCACGGCGCGCCACTACTGCAGCGACTCGCAAGCGCCGGTCACGGTAGTATCCGTTCTTTCATCCTGTCTCGTTCACCCCCGGTGGGGATTACGGGCCTCGCTCCAGTACTCACCTAACGCGCAAAATGAGAAATGAGAATGGATCTTCTTCCGTTAGAACATGGAACAGAAGACACCGCCATATTTCTGTGCATGTGCGGAGTACGTGGAACGAGAGGCCCTGCGCCCTGTCTTTTTTTTTTTTTTCCTTTCAAATGTAAGCTATATTCTGGCAACGGTCTCTATGAGCGGCTGTTACGCCCATAACCTGCTCGGCGGTCCCTATGGATGCACAGATCAGTTGAACTCGCCATACCATTAATAAACGTGAAAAAGATAAAAATGTGGTGGGTGCATGACTATGTTGTAGTGAGAGGTTTGTTTTGTACTCGATTAGTACATTTAAAAAGCATTGTCGCGATCTTCATCGTGAGGGCAATGGTGCACAGCCCGTAGTTCATGCAAAGTTCTTTTGTTGATGTGGTTTGGGAAGGGTAAGGTAATGATTATGCTGTATGTGTGTTTTGTCATGTTCGCTATACACACCTCGGGGTCCCGGTTGGTGCTTTATTCACGATGTTCATGGGATGCTGGACCCAGTTTCCAGCAGGTGGCGCTCCCCCGAAAGGGTATGTTGCATATGAAGTTGGCGCCTTATCAATACAGTCTACAAAACAAAGACATTGAATCCCACATGCCGAGTGTAGTTACTATCGTGTGGGGGACGCTGAGTCGGGTTATCGCCATAGAACTCAAACTCCCCAGCAATAAGATAAAAAGAAATGGCTAAAAAATCAGAGTGAGAATATGGTTCCCGGCGATAGGCTTGCTACCACTGTTCGCACGTTTGTGCCTACATTCTACACCACTCTTGTTTGTGCCCATGGTTCTTAAAAATTATGGAATGGCGGTGCTATGGTGCAAACTGTTACTGCCATCTGTGATCTCGTGCGTAATTACCCTAATTTGCAACTGTTCCAAGTTATTGCTCTTATGAGTACCTCAATTACTTTCGTGTTTGCCTCGATGTTCATCTCTGTGTCTGCCCCTGCACCTGCCTCCGTGCCTGTTTCTATGTTTGTCTCCTTCCAGGTTATTGACCCTATGGATATCTTAGCCCTTCCTAATCTACCTAGCAATAGACTATTCTACAATTTCTGCCTAATACGACAGACATAACCCAATGAACCGTCAATGCTCCTTCCATTGTTCCAAGGACCTCCTTACTGCCTTCCTCATCAGCGAGCAGCCAAATTTGTAACACTAAGCTACTCAGCCTAGAACCACTTATCTAAAATAAGCTTACCGTTTTTCAACTTTGTCAATTTTCAGCAGGTCTCACATGTCTATCCGAACAAGTCATATGAGTTACCTTTTCCTTTTCTTTTCCAATCCGCTTGGATGAGGCGACGAAGAAAAACTCTGAATGAAGCTCAAATTTCTTTATTGGTCATTTCCCTGTTGTTGAACACCCATCGTTTTTTTTCCTTCCAGATCACTTCACAACCAACCATTCAAAGCAGCCATCTGTGATAGTATCCAAGAAACATTTTCACCAATCCCGAATCCTTACCGAGGTTGGGCAGTCTTACTACAGGTGGGGAGTAGATTCAAAAATTCATTGGCACCACTTACAGGTTAAGTCCACCCTTGGTCCTCGCTGGGCCAGACTAACTGCAGATGGGGAGGCTAATAAAAGAAAGCAGTCAAAAATTAACCCTCTAACCTGGGGCTCGGGGCTTGCATTAGTTGTTTCCAGCAGAGAGATACAAATTTTTCAATAACAGATCTTTTGCAGTCGAAGAGTTAACTTCATCTAGTAACAACAACTTCTTTGGCGGGTGGGATGGGGTCAGAGTATTATAGCCCTTAGCCACTTAGTAGTTAACTAGCGGGAGATCCTCCCCTTGTGCGCCCTCTCCCTTCCATCCACAAAGTTTTGGATCCTGTTTTAGGCTTGCAATTTCTTTGCCACCAGCATGAGCTTGGCAGTTCCAACTACCTTCCTCGTCGCAAGTTTCCCACACTCGGACCTAGGTCAGACCAGCAAACAAAAGAGGGTGTGGAGGACCATCGATTTGAACAACAGACACATGATGGGCTGTATACTGAGTTTTCCAACACTAAAAAGTTATTTTACCGATTGGATCGAACCCCGTCAATTTCCAAATTATGAAAGGAGGGGTTAGGGAATGGTTGATATACCAAGCCCCTAGGGGATCGATGCCTTCAGGATTTAACAAGTGTTTCCATTGGTTGGGGATTGCCTCAATCAAGTCTGCAATTTTCTCCTCTACACACCACATTGATCCTAGTAAAGCTTGGAGGGCCGCTGGAAAGATTCAACAACCTTCCACTAAATTTCATATATCACCAATTATGAGAATGCCCTTTCGATCCATGTTCGGTCAAAGCGGATACGGGTGGAATCTGCAGAAAACCAATTGTTATCATCTCATCGAATGAAAGGATTTTCAATAAGAGGTTGCAAGATAATTTATATTTTGGTGAAAGGTTGAAGCCATGAATTAGGCCCCAATTTTTTCCAGGTATGCATGGCCGCTTTCCAGAAGTCAAACTTTATACGTTTCTTCTGGTAAGATGGGAGGAAGAAGCAAATTCAAACATCCATAGGTTTGGTTAGATTCCACTCAGAGGCTAAGATTACCTCTGTCATTTCGATTCAGTGTTTAGTGTTCCGCCTCGTGAGAGGCAGGCAACATTAATTACCCAACTAACAGGGGTTCCACTAGACCCAACCCCCTTTCTTCTTTTGAGAAACATAAGAGATCCCATGCAACTTTATACATGAATCCTTGATCGTCAGCAACAAAAGGTTTCAATATAAACACCGTTGCCCTTCGCCTAATCAAAGCACATAAGTACTACCTTAGGGATCTAACCGTAGCTACAAACGAAAAAATCATAAATAATGCCTCATTATCACCATTACTTGTCAGTGTAATGAAAAATGAGGAGATTTACACCACGTAGAGACTTTCTATGACGTATGTTGCAACAAGATACCCTCCTTGTCTACAGTGCATGATAAAAACGACACCTGCATCCCTAAAAATCTCTCTGAGTTTTCACAGTTAATTCATTTCATCCCCCAATTAATTGCAGGTATATATTCATTTGGGAGAAAAAATACGGATTTTGACCAGTTTACTAAAACTCCTGAGAGTATCGCATACTCATTCCAACAAGTTTTCAGGGCGGTCAAGGAGGCTGCCAATTTTTTAAATATTGCAAATAAATCATCAAATAAGGCTTTCACTTTACACTTGTAAGTCCCCAGGCAGATCCCTTTGATTTGTAGGTGGTTACAAATATTGTAATGTACGTTCTTCAATTGGAGTACGATCAGCAATGGTGTCGGCGCGAATACCCTTACAAGGGTATCCGCCCAATTTTATGCAAGTGACAGGAAATGGCTTTGGTTTAAAGTTAAGTATATCGCGCTAGGCGTGGCTGTATCTGTGATTACGTTGACTGGCTGGTTGACTAGAATAGAGAGTGCGTGGGCGCGCAGGTTCAGGGCGCGCGTGATTCTTTTCTGTTTTTTTATCATAAAAGTCGGCGCGGACATCGGTCGTTTTATTAGTGATATTATTAATATTTATTTATACTTGATTAAGCAGGAATTAAGGATATTTTCTTTTGATTGGTACGTTTAACCAAGGCGAGCGCGCGTGCGAGGACGACGGCATCGCCAACGACGGCGCGACCTCGTGCGGTAAATGGGGCGGCGTAGGATGGTGCGCAGGGGGACGGCCACGGCGCGGTCTAAGTAAGCCGGCGCGGGGGCTTGGCGTTGGCACGCCGGATGTGGGAAGGAAATAAGGGCATAGGCTGTTTTTTTATAAGCCTAGGCCCTGCGCGACACTTCTTCATATTGAAGTCCACGCCTAGTTGTCTAAGGCTTGGGCTTAACCCTATAGGTTACGGCATTGGATTATTGTTACGGAGGTACGGGGATCGAGGCCACCGATGTGTCGGTGCAGCATAGGCCATCATGGAGGAGATTGAGGGGTTGAGGGCTCGACGGGGCTATCCCCCCTTCGGTTTTGTTAGTAAGCGCGGCAGGCATACCTGATCCAAGGGACCGGTAGGGTATTAGCAGTCCCCGCCCCTTGTTTAGGTTTTTTGTGTATATATATATATATATATATATATATATATATATTGTTTTTATTTTATGCCTCTTTTTTTTTTGGCGGTCCCAATTTCTTTATTCAGGACGCGGTACCGCGACTGGTCGTTTAAATCTTGAGGAGCCGTGGGTGGGGTATTGCCGCAGCCAAGCCGCCTGGGACATTCGTGAAAAACCTTTGGACTATGCGGGGAGGTCCGCCCGACTACCGTGCCTGGGGGAGAAGTGTGCCAAAGTCCGGAAGTGAACCCGGACGCCAATGGGGCCGGATGCGGGCAAAAAGCAAAAGGGGCAGTGGCCACACCCTCTC